CTCACTGCCGATGGCCACTGATTTGGGTCACCGTCTGCTGTGGTATGATTGCGAGTGTGTGGATAGGGTTCGGTGGAGGAAAAGGAATGGAACTCTACAAAATGGGAGGGAGAATGAGAGAGGAACGCAGACTGAGTGTTTTTTATTTATTTTTTGTCTTTTGTAACCGGTTGAACCAGCTATCCCATGTTAACGGTTAAAGGTCCATTAACGTTATGAATCTTGGCCCTAAACGACGTGGTCAATTGTGATTGATGAATTCACTGAACGCATGAATCCACCAGTGCACAGAACACCGACTCTGCTTTTTTAACCCACACTATTTTAGATCAGGCTCTACATTCAGGGTAGATGCTTTCTCCTAAAGTGTCATGGTTTGTGTCTCCTTGTCTTAAATTCATACCCTATATTAATAGTAGGGCTCATTGCTTTTTAATTAACTAAACAAACAATTAATTATATACAAATTAGACGTTCAATGATCTTGCCAACTACTCTTTATCATCAAAGCATCTGTGATATGAAAAAACTTTTCGCTCACATTTGATGGCACCAAAAGAATCGATGATACAATGGACTTGACAACGACCTAACTTTTTGAACTTTGCTGGTATGTTGACAAGGATTGCATCAAGTTGGATACCACTGTCCATGTCCCATCAATCTTGATATGCTTGAACACACAATTATCCAAACTAGTCCAAATGGTGGGGGCCATTATAGGCCGATAGAAACACACACCCATAGTTTGACCTGTCTTGATGCCATCTAAATCCCAATTCCCGGGCACGCCCCTTGTTGTAAGTTGCCCAGTCTCTCTGACTCTCTGCCATTGCGGCTTTGAGGATTCAAGCAAACATAAAATTTAAAAAAAAAAAAAGGCATACAAATTAAGAACACCACTCTTTTTCCACCTCCACAGCTTTCATACCCCCTCTTCTTTATGTTTCTATTTACTTCCCATCCCATCGGTTCTTACTAGCAGTAGACAGTTGTAACAACCAGATTAAAGGCTTATGGGTTTGGTTAATTAAACATCTGGAAAACCCAAATCAATTTTCAGTCAGTTAAGCTATCTGCTTCAGACAGCTGAACCAATTTAGCCAAATCTTCATTCAGCCCTCACAAACAGGCCATCACCTTGAGCCTACAGTCATTTCGACATACTTTTTAGGCTATTATAGGAGAGTAGATGTAGATTGACTAGATCCGAAGTCCTCTATCTTTTCAACCCATATGGCTTGGTGTTTGTCTAAAAATAATGTCCATTTTGGGATTTAACTTTGATTCCAATACCAAAATCACTTTATTGCTCCTGTACGCCAGCTTCTCTTTTCACTTAACTGAAGACGGTGGATTTGATTTATACAGCCTTTAAATGTCCTCCTTATGGCAATTTGCCCGAGCAATACTGCAATAATTGAGAGAAAAGATTACCTGCGACCAGCGTCGCAGAACAGTTCAACGACCTTCCACTGATTTTTGAACACGCCACTATATATGTTAATATTTTGTCTTCTTCACCACACATTGTTCTGCGACGTTGGTCGCATGATGCAATGTTAAGTCGATAAGGCTGCAATTGAAACTAGCAGCTCATTCAGGGCAGTGGTTTTCTAGGTTTTTCCTTGACCAACGCTGAACACATTACACATGTTAAATTTTTCACGGGCAAAGATATATAGAGAGAATTCTACAATCTATCAAAAAATATGTTATCATGTAAAGTGATTTTGGTATTGAATAGTCTGGCTTCAATTTAATTCAAGTTTCAGGCCTGTCAGTTCCTTTAATAGGGGCCAACAACCACAAGCGCCCATTGCTGGAGCTGCAATTACAAATAATGTCATCGGATCGGGTCCGGATTGGGACACGGTACACCTGGAATCGACCTAATAACAATTATTAAAGAATCAGAACCAAATTAGACCTATAAGATCTATAATTTTAGAATCAGAACTGATGTTGCACGATCTAGCTGTTTCCTGCTATAGGTGATATGGTTTCCAGTCGGATGGTGGACTAAGTTGATCTGCAAGAGGAGCATCAAAGAACCTGGGGTGGTTAACCTGACGGGATCGTTCCGATGCTTAAATTAGCAAACTTGTTGCGAGCTGAAAATTGTTGAGAATATTGAGAGCTAGAGAGCATAGAAATCACACGTACCTTGAGCCATCGGAGGTTGAGCCTTTATATAGTTGAGTCCTCGCGGGTTTTGTGGATCGGTTGTGGGATCTTTGCCATGATGAGATTCATTTCCACTTTAATTGGGGGATAACGCTATCAACTAATAAGGTTTATCAATTCCGCCCGAATCAGGTGGGGAAGAGATAATGCTAGCTGTTACGCGACGTGGTCCCGTGAAGTTCGGAATCCGTTGGAGAGATTTTCGGGGTCATCACGTAGTGCTGTCGGTATTCCCGAGCTGATGCCTTTAAGTTCTAAACTAGGTTGAATGCCGGAAGTGACTTTGTCCCTCTCCTCTTTACTAGATCGGGCCAAATTACCCTTCATCAAGAACCCAATTGTTCTCATAACAATTGGATTTGACCTCATGGACCTCATTATAAAAAAATTATTGAAAGTATCATATATTTATAATATATATATATATATATATACATTAACTAATTTATTTAATATATTAATATATATACATTAATTCGGAACCGGATAGAACCAATTCCGAATTAATAATAATGGAGACAATAGATTAGGAACCGGAATTAACCCATCAATACGAATACTAGAATCAAAACCAGCCCAACGTCCGTTCCATCTTGTCCATCAAATCGGACCTGTCCCATTGAATGATTTACCTACAACCAAAAAAATAGATATTAGGTATTAAAAGATAGATATTAAATATTAGTAATAAATTAAATGATAAAAATATTATATTTTTAATGAAACAATTAAAAATAACTTTTTTTAGGACCGAACATTTAATCCGATTTACTAATACATACTTACATAGTACATATATTAGTGTAAGAACATGTGTGCAATTAAGTATTAAATGTATATGATATGTGGTATTTGCATTTAATTTTTATGACCCATATGGAATTAGTGTGAATATATTGAAATGGAGTGGGCTCATGTTGCTCAAAAACCAGCTACTAGGTGTTCATTATATGGTCTAGACTACCAAATCGCAAACCATATATATAAAAATATTTATGTATGTAGGTATGTATACATATATTCATTTAACATTTTATATATTATTGTTGTTTGTTTCAATTTTTAATTTATAATTTGATGTTTTCTTTTTTGTAGACAATTTGATGCTCAAGGAACTGTTTATGTTTGAGAAAGTGTGAGTATAATTTATATAATAGTAATATGTGATATTTGTAAAGTTTCAATTTAATATTTGAATTATATTTGTTATTTATGTAAATAAGCATGTTATTTGGGCTTTATAATTATCGGGTTAAGCTCAATAAAATATCCCAACATATTAAAAACTGAACCAAATTGTAATATATAAAACGATTTAATTAGATTTAATTTATATAGTAGTAAATCAGTTTGATTTAACTTGAAAATTTCTCAAATCATAATTTAATGGTTTTATTTGAGATCTTCTCCAAACCAAACCAAATCAAACCAGACCATGAAGGCCGCTACTGGAGTAATCTTAAGCAAGGTTTTTAAAATCGAACTGGACAGCGAACCAGTCAGGGGTCCGATTCCCTGGGTCAAATGGTCAAACCATTCAAATCAAATGAACGGCCCATTCTGACAAAAAAAAATTTAAAAATAAAAACTGATTAAACCGTTGAATGATTCGAACAATTCAACTGTCTGAATCAGCAATTTATTGACGAAATGATCAAATAACCGGTTCCCCGTTTTTCCAGTTCGACGGTCCGGTTTTAAAAACCATGACCTTAAGCTAAAATTGTGAAATCATAACCTACCATGCATTGCTGTGGCTCCATTCACTTTAAATACAGGTAAGGTGGGGCCGTATCAATACATCAAAAGCGATGCTGATTCATGGTTTTGGCCCAGCGCTATTCAAGGGGCGTAATTTCATCGAAGTTCGACTGTGATGCCAGAAAACAACCGGTATAATAAAATAGGTGTCCATCATCCATGAGGTGGGTGTTCAGGATGGATCCTCTGATTGGTCAATACTCTTTCGGTAACCATGTCTTCCCGGTGCGGTGCCATAGATTTTCCCAGTACATATTACATAATGATTGGATTCAGATCGCACTTAACCAGATCAAGGTTCAAAACCGAATTCGGACACAAGGTTGACTAATAACGTTTTCAGTCTTTCTCCCCTGGAAAAGTTAACGGGCGGTCCTATCTCCCCAATCCCCATCCGCGTGTCACGATTCGAATTGCTTGTCTTTCTAGGTGTCGGGCCCCAGGCGTCACTAATCTCAGATCCAGAACGCGTGTTGGCGTGCAGCGTGCTCCCTTTCACATGTAAATTACCCAAGATGCCCCCGTCCAAGCGTATTCAGAACGCGTATTCAGTCCACGTGGCAAGCATGCAATTGCTCACTACAACACTTCTTCATACCCCCCAAAAGGCAAAAACAGTATAAGATTAAGCGGCAGCTTTTGGTTTGATATTTTCTGGACCATCAAAAAACAACCCAGAAGAGAAATATTTGACCCAATAATTGTCAGTATATCACTGTGTCGCACAATTTGCCTCCAGGGTTGAGGGTCCCAGTGAACAACGGCATTCGACATAGGATAGGATCCGTCAGTCGATGGTTTTTGTTCTCGGCCACTGGTTTTTAAAATCCTTGTTTTCTCTTTTAGGAATTAGGATCCCATTCTCGAGGTTTCCAGTTCCAGGGATCCCAAATTCCCAATTCCCAATTCCCAACCGTATCCGTGTGGTGTAATACTCCTCGGTTTTCTAAAACCAGTAGTATTTCAGTAATTAAACCCACAAACTCATGGCTTACAAGTTTAAAAGTCACTAACTAACAGCTCAAGGCTTAAAAACCACAACTCAAAGAGTGATTACGGATTACAACCCGATTTTTTTCGTAGGATCCGATTGACATAGGAAATTCCAATAAAGTCACCATTCTTCCCTTTTTGCCCTTCTTATTTCCCTCTTGCTTTGCTTTGCTTTGCTTTGCTTGCTTGCTTCCTTCTCACTCATCAGTTTTCTCTGCTATCATTTCAAGAATAGAAGCGAAAGCGAAGGCAAGTCATCATTGGCATTTGTCACCCGCCACCTGTTTTGCTGAAACCTCAACGAAGCTGAACTCAGAACCGACTCCTCGGCGTTTTTACTTCTTTTCCGGTCAACATTATCAACGTCTGATTGTTTCTTGTCCTCCACTCGCTACAAAGGCAGCTCTCTGTTCTTCAACTCCTTCCATTACTCATTGGCCTATGAAAACTTCTCTCCGATTTTGCGACTTCTGCTTGAATAGAGTCGATCCCTAATTCTTTTTGGACCTCTGTTACCAAGTTCTGCTGCTTCGACCCTTCTAATTTTCAGTCATTTCTTCAATTGTTCTTCCTCCTCACTTACTACTTCTTCTCCTTCTCCGAATTCCAACTCAAAAATCAAATCTTAAAGAAGCTCCATGGGTCTGTCCACCAAATATGAACCAAAAATCGTCACCGGCGATGCTGGATACGTACTTGAAGATGTTCCTCACTTGTCTGATTACATATCTAATCTCCCTGTATGATGCTCATTTCCCTTTTCCTCTCTCTGTGATCTATAAATGGTTGGTTGATTCGAAGCCAATATGCTACTATACACTGAAGCTATCAATATGTTGTTTTCCTTACTTCCTAATGACTGTTTAAGTTAGTGGTAGCTTTGTTTGGAGATCTGGATTTGAAACTAAATAATTTCCTTATGTTGCCTATTTTTCCTGAAAAGATTTCCATACAGTATTATGATTTTGTTTCTTTTTATTTAGTTATTTCTTGATATCCCTTATAGAAGTCTGTGAGTTTTAGGGAATGAGTAAGTTTTGTTACTAATTCTAGATTAAACGTTTGACATCTTTTATTATCAAGTTTAGCTAAGTTTACGCATACACACACATACACTCCATATGGATCCACAAAGAACAATCATGCCTTCTTTTTAGAAAGAGAGGGTTCCTGTCTACTTCCACCTGAGAATTCATATATTATATGTAAGTTTCTTATGTCTGGGCTTAAATGTTTTTCTCCTCGGAAGTGATTATTAGTTTGTTCTTCGTTCCTTGCAGACGTACCCCAACCCATTGCAAGACAATCCTGCGTATTCAGTTGTTAAGTAAGTTAATTCGAGCCATTTCAAGCTGATTTCTAGTGCCATGTGTTCAACATTTAAAGAATATTCTTCTGAATAATTTTGGTTAAAATTGATGATTCTTCAAAAATAATTTTCTGATACGCCAGGCAATATTTTGTGAACGTGGATGATACTGTTGCCCAAAAGGTTAGTTGGTTTTGTAATGATTGACCCCCATTTTCATCAAGTCTTCCTTTCTATTTGTTATTTATAAGAGAAAGAATCTGTTTGATAATAGTTTTATGATCTAATTGACTATAAACCTTGTTCAAGGGCACAATGTGTCTGAAAAGGTTTATTTTCAATAAATTAGAGGAATTGTATAGGGGCATTCTGCATTGTGCATATGATTAACAGCCATAACCATGGTTTATGTATGAGCTATTTTCTCTTTCGCAGATTGTGGTTCACAAGACCAGTCCACGGGGGATCCATTTACGACGCGCTGGCCCACGTCAAAAGGTATTCTATTGGTGTATTATTTGTTCACTCCATGTGCAAGTAAGTTCTAATCATGGACAGTATATTTTAATGGAACTTGCTTGTTGCACAGGTTTATTTTGAGTCTGATGAAGTGCATGCATGTATTGTCACATGTGGTGGTCTGTGCCCGGGGCTCAACACAGTTATTAGGGAAATAGTGTGTGGCCTTAATTACATGTATGGTGTTAAGAGAATCCTTGGGATAGAGGTAAGTGGTTATGTCTAGAGGGTTTTACATTCAAGAATTTTGGTGCAGTTTGATTCAACAATCAATGCCTAAACTTGCTTTACTCATTTCTTTTTGCATGTCTTTTTCTTAGCATGTATATTGAAAGTAAGAGCTTCATTAGTTAATATTTATTCTTTAACTAATTATTAATTTGGAAATGAAGTGTTGGACATACTGTTGTGCTTGCCTATATGGTATATACATAATACATGCACATAAAAGTAGATGAAGTGCATACTTGCAAGATGTAGTATGTATGCATATACAGCCTGTTTAGCACAATGCTTATGGTGGGTGCAATTTGCTCTATGCATCCCTTTTTGTGGATTTTCATCCATATATGAGGTTAAAGTTGTAGTAGACTGATTTGTAGGAGCTATCTTAAGATGGCATGGCACGAATGGGGTACTGGTATTCCAACTGATCCGGGACTTTTTTTTTGATAAATAACCGATCCAGGACTCTTTATCTACTAATTATACATATTCAATAATTAATTCATAGTCATCATCATCCAAGCCTTATCCCAACTCTATCACTACATGAATCCTGTTTCACCATTCTGTCCTGTTAAAAGCCATATCCATTGTTAAATTATTGGTGCCTAAATCATTTCTTACTACTTTTAACCATGTCCTTTTTGATCAACCGCTAGCCCTTCAATTCAGTTCAGTCACGTTAACTGATATTGGTAAACTTTTCATCATCTTGTCACTAATTGGAGCTACACCTAACTCCTAAGTCCCAAGTCCACTTTAGTTGTCTCATTTTGTATTCTGTACTTTCTAATCTTGTCACTGATTCATCTAACCTAAACTCATTTTTTCTAACATTTTTTTTTTCTTCATTGCCTAGAATTCGTCCCATGTAGCAATTCTGGTCTTATAACTATATTGTAGAATTCTTTTCGTCTCCTTGGTACATGGCAACCACAGAGCAAACCGGATGCACCTCCACTTAAACCACCCTGCTCTAACTCTATGGGCAAGATCCTCTTAAATATCTCCTCATTATGGATGTTTCCTAACCATCAATCTTAATTAATCCACTATTGTTACTAACATTTTTACTAAAAGTGCAGTACATATATTCTGTCCTAGTCCAAATTATACTGAAACCTTCTGATTCTAAGCATCTCTCTATTGTTCTAGCTTTGCATTCAGCCAATCTATAGTCTTATCAATCATTACTATACCAACAGCCAAAACATTTTCGGATATGGAGGGGTCCTACAATTTTCAGATATGGTGGTAGGTTTCTAGGGTGAAAATTGAAGTAAGGTGATTTTCTACCAAACAAGAAAAAAAGCAGAAAGGTGATTTAGGTGATTAAGGATGAAGAATATAGGTTGAAAAGTACATAAACAGTTTGCTGTCTACCAAGGAATTGGCAGGAGATTGGGAAGATAAAACTCTCCCTTAGAATAAGCAGCAAAGAGATAGATTGCTTAGAAGAAGAATTAAGTGAGAGAGAATAAAAAAAAAGAAAAATGCCTCATTACAACCAGATTCACTAATCCAAACATTTATTCATCAAATCAACTCCCCCAGGTTTCAATTACATTGACTCAGATTCAACATGAAAGATCAGATCTCCCTTTTTAGACTCTAAACTAAGATACTTACCTTAAACAACTTCTAAAACTAAAATAAACCCATAATCTATACCCATAGGGACATTCAATTAAGGATTCTTACTCCTAAGCAATTCTAATATTTGTTATCAATCCTAGTAAAAGGTGAAATCTCATTACACACTGACATTCTATCAGTGAAACAGGCATAACTCCCTCAAAATTCATCAACTTTACAAGATATTGTTCTCATTTGTAGATGACTCAATAACCTAATTAATGACATAAAAAATATGCAAAACAGATATTTTGATCATTAAGAAGTAGGTTGAAAGAAAAGTGATGAACCTACAATTTTTTATTAGTATAGTTAACCTACAACTTCAATAAAAGAAGTGCATCTTAAGTGAACCCCGTTTTTTTTCTTTTTTCTTTTCAAAATTTTCTTCCCTGAATTTCCTGCAAGATGAGAATGAGGCTAGAGGACTTTTCAGGTCATTTCTTCCTTCTTTTAGATCTGTTAGCTTCATTTTAGACTTCCAAAGAGGCTTAAACTGATCTAACCAAGCACATGGGGATGCATCACTAGAGGACTTTTCAGGTCATTTCTTCCTTCTTTTAGATCTGTTAGCTTCATTTTAGACTTCCAAAGAGGCTTAAACTGATCTAACCAAGCACATGGGGATGCATCACTTGAGGATTTTAGTAGGAAGTGTATTGTATTTGACTCTTGACCTTTGAACAAATATTAGATGCATTGTTTTGCTTCCTATTTTCTTTTCACTGTCACCTCTAATTTAAATAAGTTTAACTTTTAATATATTGTAAAGCATATTTTTTGATGCATAAACAAAAGATGGTTACATAAGGGTTTCCATTGCTAGGATTGATGCAGGTATTTCTGTAGGTGCAAAGTGGAAAGTTTATTGTGCATGGTTAATGGTTTCAACTAATGAGGGCAGTGGAAATTGTAGGGAGGATATAAGGGTTTCTATGCTAGAAATACCATTCCATTGACACCCAAGGTTGTAAATGACATTCACAAACGTGGTGGAACAATTCTTGGGACGTCACGAGGAGGACACGATACCTCAAAGATAGTTGACAGCATTCAGGATCGTGGTATTAATCAGGTATACAGAGCATAAGACTGTATTATTTTCATTGGTATGGCTATGATTCAGGGTTATCAAAACTCTCTCTCTCTCTCTCTCTCTCTCTCTCTCTATCTTCATTTGTTTGTGTACCTGTGTGGGTTGGTGGGTGTGTGATTTTACATACCTTGCTGTATTCCAGGTATACATTATTGGGGGTGATGGAACTCAGAAAGGGGCTTCGGTGATTTATGAGGTAACTTTGTTTATATAATCAAAAGCTACCATCTATTATTAGATTGATATGATATATGTCACCATCATCATCTATGCCATTATCTTGCCAACTATAATATTTCCACAACTGCAAAATCAAAGAAATTGCCACATTTTCCTGCCTTACTTTTTCTATTCATGTTGACGCCAATAGGAAATTAAAAGGCGTGGTCTCAAAGTTGCAGTTGCAGGAATCCCCAAGACAATCGATAATGATATCCCGGTATTTTATCAAACCTGTGCGCAAGTACATTTTCACTTGCATTTTTCTCCCATCACTTACAAACCATGGGTTGATGACTTTTTTTTTTTAATAATTTTGACATATTTCTTCTTGTTTTATGTTGACTAAGGTTATTGACAAGTCCTTTGGTTTTGACACTGCTGTTGAAGAAGCACAACGCGCCATCAATGCAGCACATGTTGAAGCTGAGAGTGTTGAGAATGGTATTGGTGTTGTGAAGTTAATGGGTCGCTATAGTGGTAAGTTTCTATATCTTCAACCACTTATAAGTCTATGAATGATTGGTAGAAGTTAGATGGATTTTTTTTTAATGAAGGATTTATTCTCAGGTTCTAGCCTGAGAATAAATCTAGATTTTTTTCCAGATTTTTGCATGAACTTTAGAATGAAATGGGAAGTTGTGCATTTCCTGGGTGGTGTCAAATATTCATATTGTAACTATGCCGTTTTCCTTTTTTGAATTCCTTTTCTTTATTCCTTTCTCTTTTCTGTATCCTATATTGTATAACTTTTTGACATTTTTTGCTGTGTTTAGGTCTATGTTTAAAAAGGAGATTACCTAATGCTGGTCCTGACCATCTGGGGGTGGTCTTGGGAGTGGTGGACTGGATACAGATCTAACCTGTGGCTTTTTTTTTTTTTTGTTTTTTTTTTTATGAATTGGATACTCTAGACAAATCTGTTTTCTCATCCTTTTCAGCCCTATATTTTACTATTACACCAAGAAGTGGACCCTACTTTGCATGTACTTGTAATATGCTTAATGATCAATGCATATTATTCTGTATTCATAAAGGTCATGGTCTTCTTTTGTTTTCTATCAGTCTTGTGTTGCTTTATTTCCTTGGTTATTAGCATGACAATTTGGATTTGTCATCAATTCCTTTTTTATCGTTAACAGTGCATACTAGACCTGAAAGAAAATCTGATACACTTGAAAAGGATCATGGGGATCAAAAATAATACTCACTGCCAAAAGCTGGTCAAAGAAAAGGAAATAAGAAAGAAATAATGTGAACTGTGTCGTTACAATATTTGCTCTATTGACCCTCTTTGTTGTTGGAGAATCAGCAAGACTCTTTGCAGATCTAGGTACCCATTTGAATGGACAGTTTAAGTTGGGTGTTTTCAGGGATTTTTTTTTGAATGCTTTCCCTTAGATGATTTCTTATCACCTTTTCCTTGTATTTTTTTCCTTTTCAATAATATTTCTCCTCTACTTACTATCAAAAAAATAGTTGGATGCCACCCTTGCTCACTTCTCATTGCACCTAGGTGGAAATGCAGCACATCACTTCTGGGACACGTCTTAGTATGAGCAAGAAACATTAGGATTCATGAAGATATATAGCAGCAATTTTTCAGACTGCCAACTTGATGCAATACCCCTCCATCCTGGACTGGCAAGTCCAAGCACAAGGTTGACAATAGGGGAAACCCTGTTCCCATGACCCACCAAAAAATTAAAACACAATAAAATAAACAAGAACCAATCTCAAGTGAACTGTCACTCTATGGTATTAATTTATAGCATTAAGTGGTTTATGTATAGTGTTAAACATGCTAGTGTTACTTAGATCTTCCTTACAATCCAATAATATTTTCTGATACAGGGTTCATTGCAATGTATGCTACTCTTGCAAGCCGAGATGTGGACTGTTGCTTGATACCAGAATCACCTTTTTATCTTGAAGGACCTGGTGGACTTTTTGAGTACATGGAAAAACGGCTTAAAGAAAATGGTCACATGATTATTGTGATGGCTGAAGGTGCTGGGCAGGAGCTTCTTTCTGAAAGCATGCATACCATGGATCAGCAGGATGCTTCAGGAAACAAGCTACTCCAGGATGTTGGTTTGTGGATATCTGAGAGTATCAAGGTATGTATTCCAATTCCAAATTATTGTGCGTAGGAGTAGCAATTTTTTGTGCATCCACATGTTATATGTGACAGATTTTCACTAGTTTCTGCATGCTTTCTTTCAAATATAGTCTTTTTGTAACTTATGGTGCTTCCATAGGTGAAGCAATATGATTTTCATTTGATTTTGTTGTGATGCAGAACCCATACAAATAGCATCTAATAAGGTAGTTGAAATGGGTCTAAGCAAGATGGATTCAGGCCACAAAGCAGTGTTACATGGACTCTCCTAAATAGACTGTGTCCATGTTGGACAGACATCAGAGTCTGACACTCTGCAGATTCTTAAGGACACTTCCATGTAACATTTCCTTTTTATCCCCTGGTTTATTTGACATAAATGAACAGTTAATGTACAGGATGAATGCCACTTTTCATGTCAAATGTTACTTAGTAACATTTTTTGCAGGTATATAATGTCAAAATTCAAGAAAATATGAACTATTTCAATAGTATAGTCTTTTCCATGGACATGTTTGTGAGTTCATGTTTTCTCATCTAGCTGAGTCAGACTCTTGGTCACATATCAATTCTGAATTAGAGGAAGAGATTGCAGAAGGGGAAGAGGGAGATGAAGAGGTGATTGTTGGTCAAGGGAGAAAAATAGGAAAAAAAAACTGTGGATTTGGAAAAGATAGGGGAAACTTAAGTAAGCAAAATTTTGGGATTATCTTTTATAGGATGAAAGATTTTGCCAGAAAAACTCAAGGGAATTGGAAAAGAAGTTTGTTTTGAATTGCAGAAAGTTCTAATGTGGAGTTATGAGCAAGAGCTGGTTGTTGTTAAGATCGTGTTTGAAGTTGAAGATGAAAAGGGAGAGCCTTTGGGTCCCTTGAGGATTTTGGGTCTTGATGGCAAGGTTGTTTGATGTGTCAAGGTCTGGGAAAGGGAAAATGTTTTGTTTATTAAGGGGTTTGGTGTTTAGAGTGTTTGAGTTTTTCTCCCTTTATTTGTGAGTGATATATAGTCACCTTCTTGTATCTTCTCTTCTTTTCTAATAAAATTTTCTTTCTTTTATTTATTACCAAAAAAATCGAATTCTGACTCCCATATCCATGTCCAAGCAACACTTGCACAAAGCCCTCAGCTTGTTAGTTTGAGAATTAACTTTAGTTTACCCAAAAAAAAGTAGTTGGACAGAACTTAAAAGTATCACAAAATCAAGGGGGCAAAGGGAAAGAGATAAATGTGCTGTTCATAAGGGAGGCCTGGTGGAGATCTCTCATAGCAGATAAGTATGGGGTGGAGTGGGGTAACTGGAGATCTAGGGATCCTCCTCTAAGTTGGGGTAGTTCCCCTTGGAAAGCTATCATGAAAAATTTCTGTGTTCATGGAAGGGATTTCTGTCAAGATTGGTAGAGGGGATAGAACAAAATTCTGGAAGGACCCTTGGTGTTTGGACGGGACTCTAGCTGAGTCTTTTCCTCCACTTTTTCAGTGTGCTTCTAACCAAGAAGCTTCTGTGGCTGAGTACTGCTGTTCGACTGGTGGATCCCTTACTTGGACTCCCATTTTTAGGAGGGATCTATTTGATTGGGAATTAGAAGAGATTGTGGATCTGATGGCTCTTCTTCAGAAATAGAAGATTGATCTGCAGTTGGAAGACAAATGGTGTTGGAAATGGAATTCGGATGGTGAATTTACTGTCAAATCCCTTGCCTCTAAAATTTTCTATTTGGGTCTCGCTGATTTTCCTGCTTCACAGATCTGGAACTCTATAAGTCCATCAAAAGTCAACTTTCTGATTTGGACGATGGTCCTTGACAAATGTCTTTCCAGAGTTAATCTAGTGAGGCGGGTCATCCAGGTTATGGATCTTTCCTGTAGTCTTTGTGGGCATCATGCTGAATTGACAGATCATCTATGTATTCTTTGTCCATTTTCCTCTCAGATTTGGGGACACTTTCTCAAAGCCTTGGATTTCAGTTGGGTAATGCCTAGATCGGTTAAGGAACTTCTCTGTTGTTGGAATGTGAAAGGCCTAAGCAAGAAAGGGAGTCTGGTGTGGAGGACTATTCCTGCTGCTGTCTTATGGTCCATTTGGACTGAGAGGAATAGTAGAATTTTCTGTAATAAAGCTAAAAGTCGTGAAGATATCATTCAGAGAGCTGTGGGCAAGCTGATTTCTTGGGTATCTGTATCTGAGGAATTTAAAAGTCTGAAATTGTCTTCTTTCCCTTGCTCCAATTCCTGGTGGAGAATGTAAATGCTGTGGTTTTCAGGCTGCCCTTATGGGTCTGAACCCAGCTTGTATGTGTTTTTGATTTGAATAAAATTACCTTACCTTTTACAAAAAAAAAAAAAAACTGTACTGTTCATAAGAATATAAAGATGGGAAGAGAATAAGAGAGGCAATAAGAGCTATGGTGATGATTTAGCAATAGAGAGAAAACATCAATAAGAAGAACAAATATGAGAATAGTAACAGAAATTTTAATGAACTAATATTCAATTACTACTTCAAATACCTGCTATGAGTTAAAAGATAAAGCCTAATGGAGTCTGCATCATTAGGTTTCCTTAGGAGTCAACACCTGATTAACAAAATTGCATGAACAAATTCAACTTTCGTTTTCTCATTGGAAGAGTCTTTACAATGTGTGTGTGTTTATATAAACATCACCTTTCTTTGAGATCTATAGAATAATTACTTCCCTAACAAACACAACTAAACAAGAAAAAACTTGCTAATGGAGGAAAAAATTTCAAATCTAAATAAATCAAAAACATTTTCTCAATCTCTATCAAATTATTCTTTTGATATCTGTTAGTAAACCCTAGCAGATTCTAGGTTGAAGTAGAGAAGAAGAAAGAAAAGAGAAAGAAGAAGAAGAAGAAGAAAGAAGAAGAAGAAGAAGAAGAAGAAGAAGAAGAAAGAAAGGTTCGGCCAGACTAGAAGAGAGTCAAAATCACTCTCCCCTAGCTGACCCACTTGTATTTATTCAAAAACATAGAGTTACAGGAAAGACCATT